ATTCCCGAAGGGACTCGAACCACGATAGTGCAGTGTATAATTTGGACACGTTAACCACTACACCACACTTTCACGAGTACCCACCACAGAATGTTATATAGGAAAGGGTCCGTCCTTTTCTTAAATACGCATCTGCCTTGTTACCCAAGGGCACTCGTGACAGCGTGGCTTAGTGATTACCGTATCTAGATTATGTGCTGCACTATCATGTCTCAATTCCCGCTTGGGGTGCTGATGAGACCTAGGCGAGGTAGAAACTGAAGTCCACCATGGATGAATACCCTTTCGAAAAGTAAGGCTATGTGAAATTCAATGCAAACGTAAAGTCTGTTCATTTTACTGTAGGAAAATTTAATTAACAGTCCCCTTATCACCGTAAACGAAATAGAGTGAACACATCTTAAACAAACCAATTGACAAGATGTAGACTAAACAGATAAGAATCAAGGCTAGACAACTTACTAGGGCGCCGCTCCTTTAAGCCAAGAAATCTATGGGCACCCCCCGGCTGTGCAACGCGACGTTGACGCCGATCCTCAATCAGACGCCATTTCAATCCGGCTTCTTCAAACATCTTTGGCTCGTCAGCTAAGCATGGCAAATCATTGGGCTCTCTACCAACGCACTGGCTATCAGTCTCAGATGCTACTGATTCGGCTGAACACCGACCTTCCTGGGATGAGAGTCCAGCAAAAGTGCTGCTGGACCCTGTCAGACTATTTGAAGGGGCTGGATTCCCAGAACGGCGGTGGATCGGAGGACGACATCCAGTCTCAGTGGCATTATTCTCTAGAGTACATGAAAGTTTACAGGCTTGCTCATCGTCATCTCTCTCAAAGTCATGGTTGCGAGCGCGCTCCTCGCGAAACATGAAGAGCTAAAGAGAGAAGAGTATACAGGCAAATAGTAAATATTTGATAGAAAATAATTTTAAAACGTTGATGATTCCAAAAAAATATCATATTAAAAGAATATTTGATACGAGACTGATATAAGCACCACCTTAGGCAAAATAAAATTAATGAAAAACAAGGGAGAAAAGCACAAGGAAAGGATCAATGGGGAATAAGTTAACTTAGTGTATTAAGACCAATGTAAATAGCTTGATTGATTGCATCGGGAATATAAAACATCGAGTTCAAAGGCCCCATCGTGAATATACGGATCGTTTACTACTACAGAGGCCTTATATTCAGAGAATGATATTTAATAAGAGGATTAACTAAAAAAGAACGTATCAATTTGCATACGTTATTCCTGCATTATGTAGTAAATGATGATGAGTTATGAAACCAGCGTATGTAACTAAGTATATCATTAATGGTGTGGCCTTTGGTTTGGCCGCAGTTTCATTCAGCTGTAGTATTGTTTGACCTCGTTTCACAACTTGGTCAGCGACAGGGAGATCTTGTGGAATTTACCTAGTCGTGCGTCCCCTGCCACAGTGATAAGGATAATTTCTAACATCAGATCGATGGCTTGATAAATAACCAACTCAAGCCGTCAGAGGGCAAGCGCCAAAAACAAACTGCTTTTGCAGTAAAGATGTTCACAGATATGATTTAGATGGAAATAGAAGAAAACAGATTCAGAGTTTCAGTCAGAGTAAGGAAGGTAGTTGTTAGAATTTGATATGCCTGTATATTACAAATTTGTACTCATTGTTTTTTACATCGCAATCGGGATCAAAATTAGCCGAGATATTAAGGAAATTTAAAAGGAAATTTGTTTTATAGCTAGTTTAAAAATAACCACGAATTTTAATGAACCATACTAAAATCTACTAAATCTGCTATAAAAGGGTACATCTGAACTAGTTTCAAATAAGCAAGTTAGAAATTGTGATAGTAAAGGGGCGATGTGAGGATATAGGATAAGTGAATACAAAAGGAAGAGATACACCACAAATATTCGGCAGAAAACTGGTCAGAGGGTCGATCTCACTTATCTCTTTGACGAGTAGTAATGTAGTGCTGAGATGGACAAAGCTGACTGACGATGCCGGCGAAGCGCGTGGGAATGTACTAAGCCCACAGTCCGACTGGAAAGTACCATGGATACCATGGACGGGGTGCGTTCCTCTAGGTCTCCGTGAAAATACGACCAAGTTGCGAAAACAAGGTCACACAACTGCTGTACAATGGCCAAAGGCCATACCAACTTAATCTTTGCAGGGTCGATCTTAAATAAATAAATTGAGACTAATTGGGGCTAGGAATCAAAATATAGATGAGCTAGGATCGATATAGTAGATTGCAGTTTACATGTCAATCGAAAATATTTCTGCACTTTAAAATATTCGCTACTTGAAACTTAGCAAGCATTGGAAAAATCCAGTAGGTTTTGAACCTATGTGAGTCAGTGGAGAAGAGAATATTTGAAATATGTGATACATTGTATTATAGATAGCCTAGCAAGTGCCGAATGCGGGAGCGTGCTAACGAGGGCGATAATAAATACTTGATAATCGGTGATAAGCAGGAGACCAATGAGAAGAGAGGTCATTCGCTGTAAATAGCACTACAATATACATTCAGAATAAATAAGTAGATCTGATGATAACTAAAATGGATCGAGTGATGGCTTAAGTGTATTGGATATGTCACAATTTCCGGATGCATTACTGTTTGCACTGGTTAAACGGAATTGGTTCGAGGGCTACATGTTCAGTATGTGCATATCATAAGTATTTAATGACCTATAAATAATGTGCATGCAGTGACCCAGGCCGGCATAAAATAAAGGAGACTGCGACTGAACCAGAGTCCACACCATCTTGATCTTCATATCTACGATAAAATGGAGTTTAACGGGGCCCCAAAGACAAACCCCTTATGGACATTCAACATAAGGTGAAAAAAAAATCTAATATAAAAAAGCATAGAATGAGCAAAGGTAGACGTTATGTTACCTAATACGAATAGAGATCAGAAAAATAAAGGAAAATGGAGATAAGATAACATGATAGGTTAGAGATAAAGGATAAACACTACTTTAACAATCTCA